GGAATGATCCTCATTTATTTTGCAAGAGTTCGAACTAATGGATTAAAACAAAAATTGCTTAAACTCCATGCAATGAAATGGACCTAAAGAGTGTAAAACCAGGTTTTAAGCTGCTGGAGGAATGTGCAGGCAGATTTCTGAAACTGCCATATGAATAGGATGGGCATGGCTCCAGTCAGGAATAAAGACAGGGATAACAGTCCAAATCTGAGAATGGGAATTAAACCAATACAATGATTTATCTGCTTATCCAAAGTTATCTAAGGCATTTAGATTAAAGCAAACATGAATGAAGAACTTTGAAGATGAGCCATTCATTGCTTAGGCCCCTTGCACAAGGACTGGAGATGGAAAATGAGAGGAGGAGGGTGGGGAATACCTGATTGAGAGCCAGTTGTGATCAAGGGGATAAGTCAATCCTCTCTGGATGCCTCTCCTTGACCACAGGGGCAACCTGGCAACTAGCTTGGTCTGAGAAACAAGCGTCTAGAAGGCAAACATGAGGAGATGAATAGCTCTCCACGGACTTTGAAGTAGAACAATAGCCATAGTCTTGCAGGAAAGTAAAACAAGCCCAAAATGGCTCTAGGTACAGTGGGTAACCATGTACTCAAGGAGTCTTCTCTTGCACCATCATCTCCCTCCAGGTGAGAACGAGAAGTCAAATTGAGGTTTTTAATTCAAAAGTAATGTTTACAGAGGCACAGAGCTCAGAAATACAAGGTTGCTATTAACCTCCATGAAAACAAACAGCTGCTGGAGGGTCTCTATTCCATTTGTGTCTTCCTTGAGGAAAAGGCCGTGCTGTTACCAGAAATCATGGCATTGCTTCAAGGCAAAGAGATGCTTTATCATAGAATCATGGAGTGATTTGGGTTGGAAAGGACCTTCAAGATCATTCTGTCCCACCCCTTGCCATGGACAGGGACATCTTCCACCAGACCAGGTTGCTCCAAGCCCTGTACAACCTGGTCTTGAATGTTTCCAGGGACAGGGCAGCCACAGCTACTCTGGACAACCTATGCCAGTGACTCACCACCCTCACAGCCATGAATTCCTTCTTAACATGTAATCAAAACCTACTGTCAGTTTAAAGTCATTCCCCCTTATCCTAAGAGCTTCAGAGCTCATGGAATTAATTTAAAAAATAAATGAAAAAAAGCAATTCATGCTAGAAAACAATCATCCAACTGCCCAGAAACTCTAGAGACTGTCAGGTACTGTCCCCAATAGGAAGGATTTGGCTTGCAGGAGCACAGCCCTTTGCTCTAAGGTACAGCCTTAACCTGAAATACTAGGGCTGAGTTGCTCCAGCTTCCAGAGACAGCAACCAGGTGTGGATGCCTGTCCAGAAAGCACAGCCTGTGACTAGTGGAGTATAAAAACCGATTTGATAAATTGTCATCAGGTTCTAATGACTTTTAGTCATCAGGGTGGATGAGACTGGAACTGGTTATAGTGGTACTCACAGTTCCTCTCAGAAAGAAAGATTTCTAAATTAAAAAATAAAGGGAAGTCTCAGGTTTATTTGACATTATAGATAAGAGGATTACATCATCACCAATCTCAGTGTTTCAACTGAATCCAAGTCTTAAAAGCCAACTTGTAACAGCCTAACTTCAGCTCTAAGTTTTCTTGGCAGCGAAATTCCAAAGTAGCTATTTTCTCCCCAAAAACATTAGTTTTCACTAGTTAATAAATAGTCCATTTGGGCATTCTGACAGAGCCAATGCACAAGACAAGACTCCATGATGTAAACAGAAGAGACAAAGTGATTGAGGTAGGACACAAACATTTCTGAAGTTAGTTTCTTAGAAAATAAATTTTGGCTATTTGCAGTTTTGATCCAAAGTTTCTTCAGTCAGATTCACTTGTGCTTATTTAATCTGCCTACAAGAGGCTCAGAGAAACTGTAAAGCACTAGGAGGGACAGAACACAATTCACAGGCTCAAATAGGTATCTTTTCCTCCCCACAAAATGTTTCCTCTGAGGAACATTACTGGATCACAGCTGGTCAAAATACTCCATCTTGATTGCTTGGCCTAAAGCCAAAATCCACAGCCACAGCTCTTTGGTATGAGAATACTTTAAAAAAAAAAAAACAACAATTTAAACACTATTTGATCTTTTTTGTTGCAAACTATGACCTCATGGCAGCAAGAATGCTAAATGAAGGTGTTTAAGTTGGTTTATAGCCATCTGAAATATTTGAAGCTCCAAGAGCAGCTCAGAGCCAGTATCATGTCAACTGTGCTAAAAAGCAATAATAGTTTCTCACCTTCTTAGAGATTCCTGGTTAAACAACATACAACAGTGACAGGGAGGCTGCCAGGATGAAGTTAAGGTGAAATTGCATCTTTTGGCAGCTAAGAAATTCTGAGATATGCTTTAAAAACCCCAAAATCTTCATAAATTAAGCTACCAGAGTTTTTTTAACTCTAAGGTTTTGAGCTCCTCTTGATTCTAGCAGTATATGAATCACAGACCACAAATTTAAGCCTTGGCACACAAGGACTTTTGAGGAAAGGCTTTAAAAATGCAGCTCCAAAGGGCATCTCCCAAGCTACAGACAAGCCCTTCTAAAAGAGTATCTTGTGCTTGCCAACATTAGATAAGTCTCTTGTCTATTCACTAGGAAAAAATCTCTTCACTGAACTACTCAAGCTTGCAGTGTGTTCTTTACTCGCTGTTAATAACCACAAATGCCTCCTAACCACAACCACCTCATAATACCACAGTCTCAACAGTTATACAGAGTGAAACAAAAGTAGAGTTGAAGAGAAAATGAGATTCTCTGGATTAAACGCAACCATGAACTTGTGAAAAGTAAATCTGAACATACAAAAAGGAATGAAACTATGTTCAAAATGTACAGGCTACATGGAAGGAGAGATTTGAAAGGAGCTTAAAAAGAGGGAGAGAAACTTTTTAACCAGGCAGAGTGTGACAGGACAAGGGAATGGTTTTAAGCTAAGAGAGAGGAGATTTAAATTAGCTATTAGGAAGAAATTCTTCCCTGTGAGGGTGGTGAGGCAGTGGCACAGGCTGTCCAGAGAAGCTGTGGCTGCCCCATCCCTGAAGTGTTCAAGGCCAGGTTGGATGGGGCTTGGAGCAACCTGGTCTAGTGGAAGGTGTCCCTGCCCATGGCAGGGGGGTGGAAGATGACCTTTAAGGGCCCTTCCAACCCAAATCTTTCCATCATTTGGTCCCACAAGCTGGAATAAACTGCCTGCTCACAAGAAAAAGAAGTTAAGAGAAAAACTTCACAGGCCCTTTTGCATTAGCAAAAGGTCATCTGCAAACTGAGCTGCTTTTCTGGGAGGCAGTGAAACAGCAGGATTGAAAAACTGGAAACAGAGAGAATTGTTCCCAAAAGGGAACAGAAAAGATTCAGGGAACCACAACTGAGACAGTCTAAATCAACAGCTTTGGCTTGTGGTCTTTCACCTTAAGAATCAACAGCCAGATTTGCTATCAGGGAAGTTTTTGCAGCTCTATAGTTTCCATAACAGTGTGTGAGGGAACCAACAGATCTGTCTTGATTTTGTCTACATACAGCACAAATAATATTTTGCAGTAGGGGGAAAGTGTAAGAAAAGCAAACAGCAGGACAGAGGTGCCAGGAGAGATGTGAAGTGGGAAGCAGAGCTTGTAGACCTGCAAATCTAGTGCAATAAATCCCACGTGTTGGGATATGAAAACAGAGATTAATCATTTAAGAGTCATGTCTGAGAAAACAAAACAACACAGATCTTACCAGACAGAGGGATCCAACCATCAAACCTTGATGCACAGGCACTGAACTCTACAGACCTTCCATAGAGCCAGAGCTCCACGCAGAACAGAGGAGCTCATGGAAAGCTGAGACAAAGACTTTAAAGCCAAATTGGCTCTGATAGATATATGAAGTATATACTATACTATATATCTATATATAACTCTTGTACAAAAACTACAGATTATTTTGTTGGTTTGTTTTTAATCTGAAGAGGTAAAGAAATTATTTTGTACTTAAATCTAAACTGATGTTCAGAGAAAGGTTAGGCCTGGAGCACAAGTCTGATGAGGAGTGGTCGAGGGAGCTGGGGGGGCTCAGCCTGGAGAAAAGAAGCCTCAGGGGGGACCTTCTTACTCTTTACAACTCCCTGACAGGAGGTATACCCAGGTGGGGGTTGGGCTCTGCTCCCAGGTAAGGAGTAATAGGACAAGAAGAAATAGCCTCAAGCTGTGCCAGGGGAGGGTCAGCTTGGACATCAGGAGGAATTTTTCCATGCAAAGGGATGTCAGGCATTGGAAGGAACTTCCCAGGGAGGTAGTGGTCACCATCCTTGGAGGAGTTCAAGGAATGACTGAACATGGCACTTAGTGCCATGGTCTAGTTGAGGAGGTGGTGATGGGTCACAGGTTGGCCTTGATGAGTCTCAGAGATCTTTTCCAACCTAAATGATTTTGTAATTCTGTGAAATAACTGTATTTCAGTTACCCTCAATATCTAAGAAATTCAACTCCATTCCAGCCTGCAGGGAAATGCAGATGTCTCTAGTCAAAAGCAAAAATGAGCTCAGTGCATGGGCTAGGACATAAAACCAGTTCTATTCAAAGAAAAACCAAGTACAGTGTAAGTATTGCTTTTTACCAATGTGATTGTAATTTGATAGAACTTAATTCAGTAAAACCCACCTGCATTTCTCAGAGAGGAAACTGAACACCAGCAACAAGACCAAGCAAAGGCAGTTCATCTGTAGATAGGGAAACCTCATCACTGCCAACTACAGTGTGTGGCAGAAGGTATTGGATGACTCACCTAAAGTGTCCTGAAAGCTACAAAATTCCTTCAAGTCTTAATTTTAACAGCTGATGGCTTTTCTGCTTGTTTCAATGTAGGTAATCAGATCTTATCCACAGGACAGTGGGCACCTGTATGTCCGCCCAATTATGGACGTCTAGCCAGATTTTCCCTGGAGTTACACTCCCTGCAAAGCCTCATTTCCATGTATATTATTAGGAAGCACTAAGAGGAATTGTTTGGAATCATTAGCTTTAAAAGATGAGAAGTTAAAAATGAACAACTATTCATCCAAGTTTTGGAGGTGAGAAGGAAATGAAGCCTAGACACCCATGATGGGGGAAGGAGGGAATATGATACTCCCAGAGAACTCTGGTTAACGTTTCTCCATGTTTGGAAATATTATCCAGGCAAAAAAAAATTTATGTGCTTTGTCTTGCTAATGGCTGTGTATCACCTATGGAATACAACAAGGGGTTGTGTGGTGGCAAAACCTCTAAGGCATAGCTAAAGCTTCCAGATCAATTCAGAGCCAGCACATAACAGAAGGGAAGAGCAGATAGCCATGCTGGGAAAATGATTCCCGTTTCACATGTTCCAGAGTCATCCCACCTCTATTCAAGACTGAAGGAGACATTCATGACCTGCACCTCTCCCACTCTACTGAGGAGAAGACAGAAGTCCTATACAAGTCACAATTTAGGTATTTTGGGCCTTCATTTTCAGATTTGCTTGGGAAAGCACACAGTACCTGAGGACTTTCAGAGCATAAAATCTCACAGGGATATTTTCCCAATGGAAAAAAGCTATTTTTTCATACATCTTTCTAGAGGATAAGAAAAGCAGGAGAATCATTTCATCTGTTTCTGAAATTCCTGACAGAATCCAACTGCACAACAGGCTGAGCTTCCTTTTCTCAGGGTTTGTTTACTTCCAGTGTTTTCTTGGCTGAGGTGAAATTCCATCAGGCAAAACTTCTCACAGTACTGCTCAAAGAGGAAGCTTTTTCTACTCCTATATTAGTTTTCCTTTGCCAAGACTCCAACTGCCAAGTTGGAGTTGGGGGTGTTCAGAGAAGGCTCTGGGAAAAAGTTACAGCCCCTTCCAGTGCCTAAAGTGGCTCCAAGAGAGCTGCAGAGGGACTTTGGACAAGGGACTGGAGGGAAAGGACAAGGAGGAATGGCTTCCCACTGCCTGATGGTAGGGTTAGATGAGACATTGGGAAGGAATTCTTCCCTGTGAGGGTAGTGAGGGGCTTGGACGGAATTCCCAGAGCAGCTGTGGCTGCCCCATTCCTGGAAACATTTGCGGCCAGGTTGGATGGGGCTTGGAGCAACATGGAGTAGGGGAAGGTGTCCCTGCCCATGGCAGGGGGGTGGAATGAGATGATCTTTAAGGTCCCTCCCAATCCAAATCACTCTCTGATCCCATGACCTGTTACAGTAGGATTCATACAAGTACCTTTTAATATCAAAATCAATTTAAAAAAGAGAAGAACACAGGGAGGAGACATCTGCTTTGCTCATGAGAGTTCAGAGGGCAGGAAAACAAACCCATTCCCTGATAAGATGAGAAAGGACACAATAATTGCTTAAGGCAAGGTACTGCATAAGTGCACTGTCTGAAGACAATGATTAATTCACCTCTCTGTAGTGCAGAACATTGTTTTTCCAAAACGTTTCCCCTGCTTCATCAACCTCTGAGGAGAGTTCCTGGCCCAACATGCAGAAGATCTTATAAGAGCACAGGAAAACAATAGAATATTATGGACATCTACCTGGTCTGTATTTTGGGAAAGGCACAGTCTTGACAAACATGCTCAACTGAAACTCAAGTCAAACTTAGCTCAAAGCAAAGCTGTTTATTTGTGACAAATCCTTACCTCCACTTTTTTTTTTTGCCATTCACCTCTTTCCTTTTAATGCCATAAAAAGGGAATACTTACCATCTAACCATTAGCCCAAGCTCCATGAAGTTTTTCAGGTTAGGAAGAGTTTGCCTTAGATCTGGAGTACTCAGCCCATGCTGATATCTAAGCTACAAGAGAAGAAAACAACCCTCTGTGAGAAACTGCAAAAAAATGAACTGTTTCATCTCACCAATGTACCCAAGTGCAGTGTACCCAGATGTGGTCACCAGCATGATGATTCTCAGGCCTTGCAGAGCTGGAGAATGGGCTGTCCTGGGACAGGCATACGGAGCAGACACAACAGCTGCCTCATGTGAGCAGTCCAGCCCAAACATTGCCAGTTCACTGCTGCAAAGGACCCTGATAAGGGCTGAATATCAAGGTCTAAGTGGGGAAAATGCCATTCCCCTGGTCTGCAAACTGCTGCAATGAAGCCATAAAGGGGAACAGACCCATAAGCATTTGAGTGGCAAGCCAACACCCCCCCAGATGTGAGAGCTCAACCCCCAGGAAAGTAGACGGATCAATGAGATGCTACTGGATCCTTGGTGGTGACTATCCCTTGCTTTTTATAATCTTCTCTGCATATTTCCCCTTTTCCTTCTATCCCCCTTTTCGGTCTCTCTGATGCTAATAAAGTGAGTTATAGTTTTGGCTACCAACATCTGACCTCGTTTGTGTCTTAATGTCACTCTGGGTATATTCGATCCTAAATCCCCTCTACTTTTGCAGTTCAGGACAGCTTCAAATTAGCACAGCTTTCCAAATCCCAAAGAACATAACATGGTCAATTAATTTATTAGGATACTCAAGCAGTTCCAAGAGATCTGTTCCCCTCAAGGAAATGTTCCATTTAATATTCATATTAGCAAAACCCACCCAAGAACAGGGACAAAACAATCTGTTAAACCTCTTTATCCACTTTCTATCAGTAACAGGAAAGCAGCCTCACAGCTCAATAAAAACACAGCCAGTATGGAAAAAGACCAAATTTCACCACAATTGTTCTATATTCACCAATTCTTAACATTTGTGTGCAAGGGTCACTTGTCAGTCTGAGTGTCTCTGTGTGTTGGAATCAGGAGTGGAATTAACATCAACTAAGAAAAATACATATTGTCACACAACTGATTGAAATCTGTGCTGCTTATACAGTTTATATCAACATTTAAAGTGCTGCTATTACTCTCATGATTAATCCCAGCATTCAATTCAAATGCCACTAAGGGAAAGGTTTCAGACATTGACTCTAACCTAAGTATTTACTCCCTACAACCAACCTTTTGCCTCAGATTATCAAACAATGTCCACATGACATAATAGTCACTGCTGGGAGTTAAGAACTACATTTAACAAGTGCCCAAATTAAAAATACCTCTGAATAAAACACCACACGCAAGGGAAAAATCTTTTGAGTTTGGATCTCAAAGCTTCAGGGAGACTTAGCAGAGAAATTTATTCCTTGTGTGGTTAAAATATGACGGAAAATAATCCCTAAATTCCAGTATGTTTAAGGCTGTTGGAATGAAGCACTATCAAATTAATAAGCAGATGTTAACACCCTCCAGAAGTCACAGTTGGCCACAGTAACTGCACAAATTCAATGCTGACAGAGCTACTTGCTGAAACATGGAACTTTCCCACTCAAAGCTAAAATTCCTTTTAGAATCACACTCCTGTTTCCATAATTCCTGACAGCAAGGTGAAGGCAAACATCCTCTAAGTTCCAAAGAATTCTGACTTCCCAAACAATCAGTTTTTCACAGAAACAGACTTGAAATTGGGAAGGATTTTTATGCTCATCTGAGTTTTAGGAAGAAAAGAAATCCCTTTGGAAGAAAATCTCCCTCAGTACTGCATTGTACAACAGGAGAGCATTTATTACAGTTATTATTTCCATATGGATGCAGCCAAGGCATATGGTGGGTTTGGATTCATATTTTCTGTTACAAAGATAGAGCCTGGATTAAGACAACCATCCAATATAAATTACTAAACCATCACCACATTCTCCTGATGGGATTATAGTGGATTTGGTTAACCAAAGAACTAGCCTGGGGCAAAAGGAAAAAAAGAAGGAAAAAAACTCCACCAAAATTTAAAACTTGACATTTGTTGTTCCTCCTGCAATAAAAAAGTTCATAGAATACCCATTTTTATAGTCACCCTTAAATTCTAAGGGTTCAGAGCATGAAAAGAATGGGATTAAGGGATCTCTCTTTCCAGCAGCCAAGATCCTAGGAATGCATGGGAGACATATCAAAACATGACCAAACCCCCTGTTTACACTAAAACACACTTTCATATTGCTAATAGCAGAGATGCATATTAAGTTAGGATGTAAGTTCTGTGAAAACTCCAGAAAAATATGATTTAATGAATAGACTGCATTCTATTTTGACTTTTTAGTAACTTAAAAACCAAGCAGTACTGCCTGGTGTGTGCTGCTGATACATTTAGAACCTGCTGAAAAACTCATCTGCCTTCTAGGGGTAGAAAATACAGACAAAGATCAGTTGAAGCATTAGGGTTTTAGTGTGGTTCTATATTACCTCTCCATGAATGCAGCAAAGGTTAACTCCTACTTCACAGTAGTTTACAGTAGCCACACACAGCCTGAAACAGAAGTCTCTACTTCTGCTGAGGGATACAGCTCACTGCATGTGTAACACCACCCAAACAGGAGCACAGGAAGAGGAAAAAACAGATCCTTTTTTTACTTAAAAGATCAAAACTTTTCTTCCTCCCACTCTTAACCTCTGACAATGTGGGAAAAGAATGATTAGTAAAGACTGTTTTCACCTCCAAACTCTAAAGCATTTCTCATACACCTTTCCTCAAGTTTAACTTTTTAACAGGCAACCCCACACGCCCAGGGCGAGTTACTGCACTTCGGCCAAGAAATAATCAGGCACCAAACAGTGATAAGGAGTGAGTCCAGAAGAGACCACAGAGATGCTCCAAAGGCTAGAGCCCCTCTGCTATGGACACAGGCTGGGAGAGCTGGAGGTGTTCAGTCTGGAGAAGAGAAAGCACCAGGGAAACCTCAGAGTCCCTCTCAGTGCCTAAAAGAGCTCCAAGAGAGCTGGAGAGGGACTTGGGACAAGGGCCTGGAGGGACAGGACAAGAGGGAATGGGTTCCCACTGCCAGAGGGCAGGGTCAGATGGTATAGTGAGAAGGAATTCTTGGCTGTGAGGGTGGTGAGGCACTGGCACAGGTGTCCCAGAGCAGCTGTGGCTGCCCCATCCCTGGTAGGGTGCAAGACCAGGGTGGATGGGGCTTGGAGCAATCTGGTCTAGTGGAAGGTCCCTTCCAACCTAAACCATTCTCTGATCCCCTGTGACCTGTTACAGTAGGATTCATTCAAGTACCTCTAACATCAAAATCAATTTTAAGAAGAGAAACATGTAGGAAGCAGACAGCTGCTTTGCTCATGAAAGTTATGAGGGCAGAAAAACAAAGCAGGCAGAGGTGTCTGTGCTGTCTTGACCCTCCTAAGAAACCAAGTTCAAATTGCAAGTGTTGCTGTTATACATCAACCATCTCCACACCAAGTTTCTAATGGAACCAAATATAATTTGCAAGAGCAGCATTTGATTTAAAGATTAGAATACTCCTTCAAGATACTACAGCCCAAAGAAAATGTGGCCTTTTTCACTGCTGCAAAGATGTGTCCAAGACTTGCATTCACATAGATGGCCACGTATTCTAAATGGGACTGTGACTGAATCATTAATGACGCTGCAGCAGTAAACCATTAGTTGTGATTTTCTTACTAATACTTATCTCCTGCTTTGTTTTCCTCAGCACTGCTCTCATATTAGTTACTAGCAGCACTTACTCCACAGAAACAAGACATAGGAGATGAGACACATCATATTTTATGAACAGTTCAAGACAGAAGAACCTCTATAAAAGAATCTGAAGTAATAATACATTTATTTTAAGGCCAACTGCATCTCTGCTGAAGACCAACCTGTCATACAAGTGAGGATTTTCTACTAGACTTCACAGAAACCCACAAATGTTCAAATAAGCTACATTTAAAACAGTGTAAAAGGGAAATTTCTCCTTTAAACTTGTACTGGCTTTTTAATAAAATGTTTAAACACTTAACTTCCACCAAAGACTAAGACTAAGACAACCCCAGTAGTAGCTGTAGGTGAGGCATGACAAAGTTAACTCAGAACAAGCTAGACATAATTAGACTCTTCAGGAGGAGAAGAAGTAATATTCAGTTGACCACTTTCTACTTGTACTTTCTTCTGAGCAATGGTCTGAACTTCTACTGGAAGGTGTCTGTCCTCAGCAGTCAACCAGCTTCACTCTGAGCATCTCTAAACCACTACTGCCATCCAAGGATCTTCCAAGGATTTATTTTGTTAACTGTTCTAACTGAACTGGATGTTTTAATTAAACTGGACTGTTTTAATTAAAACCACATCAGCCCAAAGAGAAGCTTAGTGCCTTCCTAAAGGTAAGAATCCCACAATAAAACTTCATCACATCTACAAGTACAGATACCTCACTGTTAACTAAAATATAAAGAGTTCAGTTACTCTGCTATAAAGTTCATAAGCCGTACTTAAACTGCTAAAGCTTTGCATGTAAGTTGGTTTAAAAAGAAACCATTTAGTTATCTTTCTATTTCTGGGTAAATAGCAGACTGCACCCAGAATCAAAATTAGGGGTTTGGCCACTCTGGGTCTGCCTCTTAAGACAAATCATGATATCCTGCATTTACACGCAAAGAACAGCCCATTTCCTACCCTAATTCATGTATTTAATGACTAATGGGACACAAGCACATACATTTACTTCCAGCCAGAAACCACAGAGTACCTGGACTGGAATATTTATTTGGGGGAGTGCAGAACTACTCTAATTCTGAACTCATCTGTTCATCATTTCCCATATTGTTTCCCCAGCCATATTCATCTTGTTGTAAGACATGTGGAAGCAGTCTAACAGCTCAGAATACATTATTAAAGTGCAAAACACCAACCACTTCAGTACATGCTATGCATAATAGTCCAGTCTACACTGAAATCTGCCATATTTTTACACTCCACTTAGTCTCTGCTGCAGGCAACTAGTCCTTGATGTTGTAGCACCATCTGTACCCAC